TCCCTCTCATCTTGCAGAATTTGCAAATGGTCACACTTACTGGTGTTGAGAAACCACGCTAGCTTTTCTTTATAAACATTGAATATAAAATATTTAAGTAGTCACGAACTAAATGTATAAACTATGGCTCTTCAAATTACAAAAGAAAACTCTCACTTTTTTCTTAGGTCCCATTGTTCCATTTGGGAGTACTTTAGCGGATAAAATGTGGTGTAGATAGAGCGTTGCAAAGAGCTCATTCCAACTATAGAAAAGCCTATAGTGAGGAAAAAACTCGGCTATCCATTCCATTGTTTGCTTTCCCTTAGAGAAAACTTGAATGGTCATATCGACCCTAGATTTACGGGAGGAAAACCTTTTGACATGAGAAGAAAAACCAGGACAAGAATAATATTTCACAGAATCATTTGCAAATTCCGGTTTGGGTTCTTTTGTTAGTCGAGACCAGAAAAGGAGAAGATTATCTAAATCTTTTCCATAGATGTTATATTTTTTAAAATGAAAAATAGGCCATGAAGACTTTAAAATTGTTGCTAAATCCATGTTTAGTGGAAATGGTGCCGAAATCACTATCGGAACGGAGATGATCGGCCAGAGCATTCAGTGCCAGGCTAATAACGGCCTCTTCTCGGACACCGAAATGGCCACCAGTCAAGCAGTCCAAATTGACCCCTACTGTAATCCTAATCCTGCCTTTTGTGACCGCCTTAATCTCCGTCAATATTCTCATCTTTACAGCGTCCGCTCGTTTGGTCCAGGATAACTTTGCAACCCTTCAATCGGCGGCGCCGTTCCAGGCTGGTAATCGTCTGGAAATGAATCAGCAGATTAACCTCGGCTGTCAGGTCGAGGGCAATCCACGTCCTGTAGTTTTCTGGAAGCTGAGAAAATCAAACGGACAGGTTGGTCATTTCTGCACAACCAAGTACCTATTATAATTGGCTCCTACTCACTCGCGCCAACTTATTGCAGGTTGTCGATGCCCCTTGTGCTCAAGGATTCGACGGACAATACCAAGAGGTCAATGAATCACCACGCGATCGACCAATTCCACCTAATGTTGTGGTATGCTAGTTTACCCTCACCTCTATATGCATCCATAATATACGAAGTTTCTGGAGCATATACAGCCCTTAATTCATCATTCTTCTGTTTAGCGCCTCAATGCCATCTGCTCGTTCCGCGTGTCCAACTACTCCCTTTCTGGACAGTACTGGTGTTCAGCTTGCTCTTATGTAAGTCAGGGAGCTCCTGAATGCTCACCAGCTCTTGAAACTCCTGGAACAAGCACACTTAGCATTCAAGTTACTGGACCACCCATGCAGTCTGATGCAGCACCGACTATTGAGCAGGTACGTTAGACATTTCGTCCCCCAGAACTTTTCTTAGAAAAAAAGTTGAAGATCAATGATGATAG